ACAGCTTTTTCCACTTCTCTCCAAGGAATTTTTTTTTTTTCCTTTTCCAGGACCAGTTGGTGGGGAGGGGGCATTTCCCTGGGGAAATCCCCATTCGGAGTTTTCCTCCCTAATTTGCCCTAAACTAAGCATTATTACACATCACAAAAATTCCTTTATAAAACAATATTCCACTCAAACTGGGAGACAAAACTCTAAGCAGAGAGAGCACTGAGGACAATACCCAAATCAGAATCTGCTCCATAATATAGTTCCACATAGCTGGGTTTGAAATTTTCTACTGCTCTTTTAAGAACACCAACTCAGCTTGAGAAACAGCTCCAGCAGCTTATATTAAGGGCTTTACAAATCAAGAGTTTTACAAGTGTACTTGAAATGTGACTTGTGATGCGACAGATCAACAATGGAAGAACGTTCAGAGGAGATAAGCCTTCTGCTCATGGAGCTCTGGGAAAAGTACAGTGAGTGACCATGGTTGTTTTAAAGAAAGCTGAAGTTATCTCAACACAGGAAGGGGCTCTGGGTGGCCTCTGTTTTTCATAAAAGGCTGAACTAGTTGAGTGAATCAACTGCTTGTGCAAGTGGCCTTAATTAATTGTGAACTCTATGCATTTCTGTGCAAGCCACACAAGCATGCCTTGAGCCAGCAAAAACTAAGCAACTAGCAAAACTAACTACAGCTGGCTTTAACCCACACAGACTGTCAGAGCAACAGGGGACAGCTTGTGTCATGATCGTTCATATACAGAGATTGGCAATAGGAGGCGGACCTGCACTGTGATCTGTGTACTGCAGACATTCTGCTCCTGCCATAACTGCTCATCTAAGTCCTGCTCAGATTTTGGCTAACACACAGACCATCCTAAGGCCTGGTGTATCCTGGGACTGGTGCCATGAGGTCAAGGTGAGAGCAGCAGGTAAGGAGGATTTGATGGACAGAAGGGCTAAAGGTCATTACATAGCTGCCATCACCTACCATTTGCTATCTCCTGCAGCCTTAATCCTTCCATACAGATTGTCTAGCAGTTGCTTCAGAATCTAAAAACTTAGAGATATTACTGACTAAACTTCCAAGTTGGAAGATATAAATATGTCACTTGCTCCTCCAAATAGCAGACATAAAGCCATCCACAAAGATTATAAAAGAGAAGACAGAAAGATAGCTAAATACTTTTATAATCAAATAGAATGATAAAGAATATGTTAGTTTAAAGTATTTTTTTTCTGATTTTGCCTAACTTCCTAGAAAAGAAATAATGCAGGTGTGATTGTTTACTATTTCTTCTGAAGCAAAATTAACAGCAAAGCAAAATTCTCAATCAAAGCAAAATTCTCAGTCTAAATGGTAGTGACAGAAGCAAAAAACCCAGTCAAAAATATCCATGTAACTAATGCATCGCAAGACATTAAGTTTAGAGTCCTAACTACCTAGCAATAAAATAATATAGAATAAAAGGATTGAACTGAAAGAGCAAGAATGACATTCATGTAGTGTCATGATCAGCCAATACACAAAGCCCTTTTAAGGTAATCCCTCTTTCCAAATAATCGTTGTTTCAATATGCATTTCTCTATCATAGCAGTACAAGCTTGAGCAAAACCAGCTGTTACCCATCAAATTTCAATAAAGTATACTGTAAGAAAGGGTATCCCTTTTTCTGTTATTACATCAACAATCTTTAAACATATGCATCACAAAATATGAAGAAGTGTCGGCACATCAACGCTGTCATCTGAAAGTGATGCCAAAGAGAGAACCCTTCAGGGAATATGCCTTCCTAAATTTCTTGTTGTGCAAAATGCAAATGTACTACAAATGTGGTACATATATTTTTCAAACTGAAGCTATTAAAAAATGTAAGTCACAAAAGTTGTATCATTGCTCTTGTAAGCTCAACACATAGCCTTGGTCATAGTACCTGGAGTCTTATGGTGATCGGCATCATCTGTCACCCTTGAAACTCTGTCAGGCAGTCTCTGTTCTGATGCAGGCTCTGGTAACTTCGAGACACACTGTTCAAACTTCGGAGTCACTACAGTATAACGAAACAGCTCTTCATATTCATCCTGTTGCAAAGTGGTGACAAAGAATTACAAAACTACAATTACATTTTTTAAAAATAGGCATATGTAAGAAGAAGTGCAAATTATTTTCTATGATTTTGAGAGGCTTCTTTTTACTATTATGGTGAAAACTAAGTGGATTTCCCTTAAAGTTGCAAAAGTGAGCAGTTTTCCTACAATGACTATAATAATTGAACTTTCTCCTGTTTAATGTTCACATTCCTTCTGATTACAACTATATGCACTGCAATTGTTGCACAGAAAGACTCTGCCAAATGCCAGCATTGAATACTGTAATTGGCATCTAAAACAAGAACTGGAAAAAAACTCCAGCCCCAGATCATGTAAGTTATTAATTGACCATTATTATTCATAATTACTACTACTAGTGCTGCAAAGAAAAATATGTGTTTTTATAGCCATGACAAAGATTCTACTGAACACAGTCACACTTCACACTCTGTAACATTACAGTTTCTTTGAGGGAAGTTGCAAAGCCAATCATCAAAAGAGATTTGATTATACACAGTTTTGTTTAAAGTGGATATAATTATTCTCACCTTATATTATTTATTTTTGAAATTATACAGGCATATGGAATATGTATATATAAGTTAGAAAGATACTTTCATGTTAAGAAGCTATAAACCCATCTAACTGGTATGTGGCATTATGCTATGCACCAAAGTAAGCCTATTAATATTTTTTAAAAACCTCCTAATGAAACAGATTTTCAGGATGAAGGTATTTAGTATTCATTGTGAGTCTGTAAACAATCTGTATATTTACTACAATCTAGTAATTAATTAAACAAGTTCCAGTACCAGTTACATACTAAAACCAAATCAAATCTACTAATTAAAGATTTGGAAAACAATGTTCATTGGAAAACACTAAACCGGGTCACTAGCGGTTATTTTTTCTTCACTTAGTATTATCACATTAGTTCTGTTCTGTTCACATCAGTTCTGTTCAGTATCCTAATGAAACCTCAGAAAGCAAATGTGAATTCAAAAATTAATTTCCTCTTTAACCTGGGGAAAGTTAGAGTGAAAACAAGCAATGAAAGGTACCAATTACATGCAGTATATTTTTGCATCTAACAACGGAAAAGGATACTACTTCAAAACTCTCTGTGTAACTTCTATATTTTTGTGTGTTTCAACTAATTTGAGAATTTAAGAAGCTAGGTTTGGTACATTTTATTTGAATTCTAGTTTCCATATAAATGTCCATTTCCCATCTTCTAATCATGTTCATAGTAAAAAACTAAATAAATGTATACAAAGCTATAGAATTACAAATATGTGATGTATCTTTTGGATAAATAAGTGTGTCACATTCCATGTAAAAGGTAGTTAGCTGCAGATCAACAAGTTATCAATTTTTCCACAGCCATATCTTTCTAAATGTATATAGTTTAGATGTTATAAGATACCAAAAGAAGAAAACAGGTTCTGTTTTTCAGATCTGTTACTCAATCAGAGACCATACAAAACTCCCTGCAGCAAAATCTCAGCTGAGTAAAAGCCAGTATTAGCCTTAACTAATATAAATTAAATTATTCTGCAGAAGATGTTAGATCACGCCTCTGTCTTCTTCTAAGAGATCATTTAACCAAACAGCAACTTAAAACTAATTCCTCTCCACAAACAAGTTAGTTCTCAGACAGAGTTGATCCAAGTGCTTCCATGATTATCTTAGTCAATTCGAAGGACCTAGTAGGTTAGATGTCAGATCCAAGTGGGTGTCCCACAATGAGTCATCAAATTTATTCATTATCACACAATCTGTCCTACTATAGACATGCCTAGCATTCAAAATACACATAGCAAGTTATGGCAGGAAATTTCTTTCAAGTTCTAACTCCTTTATTAAAACTCAAAGAATCCCCTCTGTACAGGAATACGCACGCTTATGCGCCAACAGTAAGTGTCAACAGACAGCATCCAGTGACAAATCTGGAAATAAATGTTTATAAATTGCAATATTACAACTCTGTTGAAATGAAGTTGAAAGGCAAATACTAAAGAAAGCACAGTATCCCAATTGTAATCAGAAATGTAGACACGGAAAAAATAATCCTGGAGACAGCTGTGAGAATATGTATGGAAACACTGAGTGATTTAAGTGTATCACCTCAGTCTTCAATATTCCATAACAAATATGCTGCAACTGGAATGCAATACTGACCAGTACAAACCAAAATAAAATAAAATTAACAACATATCTTTGCTTTACTATCTTGGTTCTGCTTTAAACAAAACTTCCAAGCTGTTTTGTCAATGACTAACAATTCTGTTCATGTATAAAACTAGAGGAATATAGTTCTGTGACCTGAAGGTCAGTGGAGTTTTGACTATTAAGTGCCTTGGTTTTGTAGGAAAAAAAATGTAATGATGCAGTGAACAAATGGTACAAAAAAAATCAGACATTTTTTGATCATTTTTTTCTAATTTTAAAACAAAAATCTACAGATACTGCAAAGGATTGTAATTAAGATAACCTTGATTATACCTATACACATAACCTATACAATATGGCAAGAACAGATTGAATGGATAAAGTTTTGTAATATTATATTACAATTATATACAATACTATATTATACAATTATAAGTAATGGAAATTCTCTAAGAGCCAGTGGATCTCTTTGTAAGAAAAAAGTAATAATCTGGTCTCTATTTAAAAGCAACACATTACCAAAAAGGCCCAACTGAACAAAATACCTTCCAAAATTATGTAAACACAGTAGAGTACTTCCCTGTCAACATTCCTATTGATCACCTGTCACCTCAGAGGTCTTTTTCAACAGTAAAAAACTCCTGCCAGGGTAGCTTTGGGCTTGTCTAGTTTGGAGAAAAGGAGGCTGAGGGGCCTCCTTGCTCTGTACAGCCTCCTGAGGAGGGGAAGTGAGAGGTGTCCATCTCTTCTCCCTGGGATCCAGTGATGGAATGAGTGGGAATGGTTCAAAATTGTGTCGGGGAGATTGTGTCAGATTTGACACTACAAAGCATTTCTTTACCAAGAGGGCAAACACTGGAATGGACTTCCCTAGGAAGAGTGTTTGATGTCACGAGCCTGTTTAAGAGACATTTGCATAATGCCTTCTAATAAGATGCTTTAACTTTTGGTCAGCCACAGAATGGTCAGGCAGTTTGGCCAATGATTGATGAAGGTCACTTCCAACTGGGACTATTCTTCTCTAGACACATTCTCATTCACAAACCAGTTGCTCATTAGTATTTTTTTTTCATTCTCTACAAGGCAGTCTTAGAGCCTCCTTGATAATCAACCTGGTCATAACAGAAAATTCTGGTCCTTCAAAATTTGCAGCATGATGCTTTTATCTTGTTCTCTGACTATCAAAAGCATTGGAAACACAGATACATTACTATTCCTAAAAAAAGATTATGAAAACTTGTCCATGAGATAAGCACAAATAGAGAAGTATATGAGCTGCAGAAATTAATTGCCTCTAAAATGTCATTTAAAAGTTACAAATCAATCCAAACGGTAAAAAAAGAAAAAAGAAAACCCCTTAATTAAACAGTTCTGCAGCTGTATATGCCCATTTCACCAGGTTACAAATGTGGAGATGCATTTCTACAAGGCAACTAGCAAAACATATTATTGTCAAAACTATCTTAATTTGGACTGTATCCTACCACAGGAAAAAAACCACACAGTATACTACTCAAACCAGAATAACCAATTATTAAATGATGAACATCTACTGCTTTTAAAAGAATGGTACAAAGACTTTATCCAGGATCACTGCATCCTCTTGAGAGAATGATGAGCACAGAAAAGGAAACCTCCTAGTATTATAGTTACAGCACGTCCTGATGTATTTGATGCAGAAAGTAAAAAAAAAAACAAAACAAAAAGCAATAATTTCCTTTCTGTGATTAACTTAGCCATATCACTACTCTAAGGGAAATAAATCCATTTTAAAAAAATTCAGTTTTTACTACATTATGGGGAAAGCCTAAAATATAGTTACGTTTCATGTCTGAAAAATAATGGGTTTCTATCTTACTGTGTCAAATTCTGGCTTCTTGATAAGACTTAGCACAAACAAAGAACAACACTAGGAAAAAAAAGGTAAGAAAACTATTTTACTTGTAACTGATCAAACTCTAAAGTTTAGATAAGAATTTTTACAAAAATTCCTTGTGAAATGCACAAAAGGGGACTCTAACTGAATGTATTTTAGCATCAGTTTTTTTGTGGTCTTTGCTTTTTTTCACTAACATTTTTACTATTTTCCTGTATATATAAAATAGATGCACATTTAGTTAGATTTCCTCATAGTTATCCATTGCCAAATAAAATGCCATGACAGTAAATCAAATTATATTGCCTTTGTCCTACCTGAGGATCTGAAGAAACAGGACTGTCCTGAACAAAGTCATTTGGCAAAACTGGACTTGTGCTTTTCTCCTCATCAGATGACATTCTGCACAGTCTATAAAACAGTAGAAGCTGAACTTTGTTTTTCAGTTTCAGTACATAAACATATATTCATAATATATATAAACATATATTCTAAACACTGATTTTTCCTGCATCACAAAAGCTCTCTCTGCCATGGATAATTTTATACCTTTCAGAATGGCAAGCTCATTTCTGTGCCAATGATTAAAAATGTTAAAAAACAGTATAAAGACAATTTCAATTGCTGAGATTTCCCACGGCTCAAGGTTCAAAAGACATGATTACCATCTTCCTACTTCCTGATGGGCCCTCCTACTTCCTGCTGGGCCCTTATATACCAACCACATTTTTTAAATACAAAAAATGGAGTCTAATGAAGGTTTACTTTGTACTTTTTATTCCTGTATATCTGTGTCTATGATGACAGAAGAAATACTACCTTCCTCAGCTCCGCCTTTTTTGTTGCCTCCTGGTCTGATAATTTTCTTCTTTCCTCAATCACATGAATTATTCCTTATAAATCCCCTTGGTTTTAGCCTCTCTACATAATGAAATAGCACTATACTAGCACTCAACCTTCTTTTAGCTGATAAATTCTTTCAATACCAAAAGATACTTCTGTAATCCTAAAAAGTCAACTTCATATGCTTTCCTACATAGTTTCTCAAATTGTGGATCCTGGTTACTCTAAAATCTACTCTGGATCTGTTCAAAGATGTGTGTGCATTAGCAAAGAACACGAAGCACCAACTATCTAGCACGTACAGGAACTGTATGTGTATTTGCAGCCAGAAGTTAAAAATACTGTCATATCTTCCCTTTTCAGTACACTTCGAAAGAACAAAACTACTGATTTTTCTGAGAAACAGGATGGCACATGGAGTCCCATGTGAATGCAGACAAGTCCGAGGAAGTAGAAAATAAAGGTTTTTATTGAAAAGTTTGTTCAATAACCTAAGAACACTGTCCTGACTTCTTATTTTCAGTTCTCTAAGATCATGCCCCTGACATGCAATCTAGTGGATCTAGTTCTCTACTTATCACTGAAACTTCTCTTTGGTCTTCTAAAACTCAAAAGGTTCCTTCATCACAAGTGATAAACTAGTGATCTCAGTCAGTCCTCATACAGCTTCCCCCTAAGACCCTTCACCATCTTCATTGCTCTCCTTTGGATGCTTTCAAATAGCAGAATGTCTCTCTTATACTGTGGCACCCAGAACTGCACTCAGCACTCAAAGTGAGGCCCTCCCTTTCCTGGCTGATGCTGTGCCTGATGTCCCCAGGACACAGGTGGCCCTCCTGGTTGCCAGAACACTGCTGACTTGTGTTCAACTTGCCATCCACCAGGACCCACCAGACCACTTCAGTGGGGCTGTTCTCCAGCCTCTCATTTTCCAGTTTGTTTATATATCCAGTCCTGTCCCAGGTGGCTTTTCTGCCTTTGAGGAAATCAAATGCCCTACCCAATTCAGTATTGTCAACAAACTTAGCATGCCTTCAATTCCTCCACCCAAGTCAATTAAGCAGATGTTGAAAAGCATCAGGCCTAAGATGGAGCCCTGTGGAACCCCCCAGGGACAGGTCCCCAGTCTGATGTCACCCCAGTCACTGTAAACTTCTGTGCCCAACCTGTGAGCCAGTTGCTCACCCATCACATGATGCATTTATCCAGCTGTGTGCCGGATACTTTGTCCAGAAGGATACTGTGAGACAGTACCAAAAGCTCTACTGAAATCCAAAAAGATCACATTAACTGGCTTCCTTTGGTCAAGGAGGAGGGTCACCTTGTCATTAAAAGGAATTAAGTTTCTCAGGCAGGACCTTCTTCTCATGAACTCATGCTGGCTGTGATCAACAACGGTGTCAATGTTGCAATGAAGCAAAGAACTCATCTCTGCCTTGTCTAGTCCTGTTCATGAGGTGACCATTCTCATCATGTAACAGGCTCGTGTTATTTCTGGACTGCCTTTCATTACTGACATATTTTTAGAAACTACTTTTTCTGTCCCCCACAGGACTGGACAGCTCCAAGTCTAACTGAGCTCTGGCTACATGAATTTCCTGTCTACTGTGGAGAGCTGAATCTCTGTATCTCTTTGACTTTGTAATCTGACTTTGCTTCTACTGGGCATATGCTTTCCTTTTTTGCCTTAGCTTCAGAAGAAGATCTCTGTGCAGCCAAGCCAGCCTAAGAATAACTTATCAGCTTTGATCTCAGTGAACAAGCACTAAGTACCACAAAATACCGGATAAGTTTCTAAAAGAGAAATCAAGGGATATTAGGACACCACCTCTGGGTCAACAGGCTAATTTGCTAAGCTGCAAATCATTATATGGTGTAAGACAAGTGAGAAGAACATCTTCAAGCTTACCAAGTTCTAAACTTACCCAAGCATCTGTCAAAATATATGTCTGACTTCATTAGAGAAAGATTCCTGCTAACAGCAGTTTCTTCCAAACCATAAGCATACAACTGCAATAGTTACAATAGTAACACTGCTACTTTTAAGAAACAGGATGCAACTAGAAAGACCTTGATCTGACTCACCAACCTCGTTCTCCTCCTTAATTTTGAATGAATTAAGCTAAACTCAGGTTTTTGTGGGTTTAGCTTTGTTTTTAACTAAGGGTGATGCTTTTCCAAATAATTTAGTGCTTCATTCAGATAAGAGTATTCAACACCTAGGAAAGATAATCATGTAGAGGGTAAGGTCGGAACAGACCACAGTGGGTCATCTAGTCCAACTTCCTGCTTAAGCAAGATCATCCTAGAGAACATGGTACAGGATTGCATCCCGGTGATTCTTGAATATCTCCAGTGAGGGAGATTCCACAATCTGAGTACTCTGTTCCAGTGCATGGCCACCTGCACAATACAGAAGTTCCCCCTCATGTTCAGGTGGAACTTCCTGTGTATCAGTTTCTCCTCATTACCTCTTGTCCTATTGCTTGAAACCACTAGGAAGAGCTCAGCTCCATTACCTTGGCACCCTCCCTTTAGATAATTATAGACATTGATGAGGTCTCCTCTCAGTTGTCTCTTCTTGAGGCTGAACAGGCCCAGCTCCCCCTGCCTTTCCTCTTATGAGAGATACTCTAGTCCCCTCATCATCTTTGTAGCCTCTGCTACCCATTCTAGGAGTTCCATGTCTTGTCCTGAGGAACCCAGAAGTGGACACAGCTGGCGGCCTCACCAAGGATGAGTACAGGGGAAGGATCACCTTTCATGACCTGCTGGCAATGCTCTTCCTAATGTCCCCCAGGATCCCATTGTCCTTCTTGGCCACCAGGACACGCTGCTTGCTCATGAACAGCTTGTTGTCCACCAGAACCCCCAGGTCCTTCTCTGAAGAGCTGCACCCCAGCAGGTCAGCCCCAGGTACCTGGGGTTGTTCCTCCCCAGATGCAGGACCCTGCATTTGCCTTTGCTGAATATCAGATGGTTCTTCTCCGCCCATCTCTCCACCCTGCTGAGGTCCTTCTGAAGGGCTGCACAGCACCCCGGGGTGTTGGCCATTCCTCCCAGCTCCGTGTTCTCAGTCAATCTGCTGAGCAGACATCTGCCCCCTCATCCAAGTCATGGATGAACAAGTTCTGGGCCCATTATTGAACCCTGGGTGACACTGCCAGTGATAGAACTACACTGCCTGCCAGCAGAGACAGGACATATTCCTTCCCTTTAGCTGTGCCCCCTTGCAAAGCAGCGCTGCTCACACTTTTTACTCTCACAGCAGCAGCTCCGCAGCTGCCCCCGACGCCGTCAGCACCGACACCGTTGAGACCACGGCTGTCATGGCAGACAGGGACAACAAAGACAATCCGCTGAGTGTCCCACAGAAACCAGGGAGGCACAGGGGTCAGGCAGCTGGGAATACGATAGATTATGAGCAGGAAATTCTCCTTTTCTTTTCTTATACAGAGCTTTTGAGGCGACCAGCCCAACCTGTGGGCAGGGAGTACCCACTGGCACCCTCAGGAAACTCAGGGTGGGGCTGCGGGCGGCAATGCGGTCCCCGGCCAGGCGCAGGGGTGCTGTGGGAAGGACGGCGCGGCCCCCAGCCACCCCCCACCGCTCACCTGCAGGCCCCGGCGGCGCCGGCCGCCGGCACCGACGGTTTCAAACTGCCGGAGCGGAAGAGGAACCACCTCTGCGATAGGCTCAGGGTGCCTTTGCAAAGCACCCTCTGATTGGGCAGCTTGGCGGCGAAACAGCCAATCGAGTCGCCAGGCTGGGGGCGCGCACGCCGCCGGCCCCGCCCCGCCCGGCAGCAGCTCGTGACTCGCGCTGATTGGCGGGGCTGGCGCGGGGGCGCGCGGGGCGGTCCCGCCCCGTGGTGCCGAGGGGCGGGGATGGGGGCGTGTCGGGCGCTCGTGGTGTGGGCCTGCATTCGCGGCCCGGGCTCCGCATTCCCGGCCCGCGACCCGCGCCAGCCGCCAGAGGCTTGCGTGGTGGCCCTGGCGCTGCCGTGGAGGGAACCGTGCCAGATTAAAGGCTTTGGTGGGGGGAAGCTTGAATCTGTCTGTCAGCAACTGCTGACGGGCATTCCTGTGAAGAATGAAGATTTATTTTAATAAATAAATAAATAAATAAATGAATAAATTGGAGAGAATTCCTTTGTGGAACTCCTTCACTCATGTGGAACTCCTTCATTCTTTCATCTATGCTAATAATGAAGCTATAAACCGTCCCGGAGCAGGGGTTTTAAATAATTTGTGCAGTAATGTTGCAGAAAGAGGTCTTGGCTTGTAATTCCTAGCATTTCTCTCCAGGTCGGGCTTCCCGTAAAGCTTTGAGTAGGCAGACAGGCAGGATGGATTCGGGAGCTAAATCGGGCCAGCCCCGTGGCAGGGACTTAGTGTCGCACACACCGCCTGAGGCAAATAACTCTCCTTGCTGCCACCTCAGGGCTGTAATAGAAAGAAATACAGCAGCGGGTTTTAAAGATTCTGTCATTGGGCATCAAGGAGTAGGGAGTCCTTCCGTTTTCCAGCCTTCTTACGATACCATCGTGATTGATCTTTCTGTAATGGAAGCTGTGACACTGAAAATGGTGCAAAATTATTTCAAAATTACAGCTCTGAGCTCTGGCTGCAGCATGGCACTGGGCATGCTAGTGCCACAAGCTTTCTGGTCGAGCTCTATAATATGAGATCATACCTTATATAGCACCAACATTTTGTCTGACAACATGAGAAAGATAATTTGGGCATAAAATATGCAGATAGGCACACAACTGTAACTCATTATTTGCCCCTTATAAATGTTCACAGCAATACATATACCTCATTCTAGAATCTTTTGCTCCTGTGACGTAGTTGAGCAAGTAAGGAAACCGCCAGAAAATTTCACCTCTCTTAGAGGCATTTAAGTCCTCCTTGAATGAGCCTTTTCACATAGTAGAAGCCTACTTCAACAATTGTTGAAGTTCTCTCAGAAAATGGCAATGGAGGGTTGTTTTTAGCTGCAGCATCTGCTAAGGTCATCATGATCTGATGAGCAAAAATTCCAACCTGAGGAGTCAGGTCAACTGTGCACAGTTAGAAACACTAATTGTGTTTCATTAAGGCCTGCAACAACATTGGTTGGTGTTCATTTCCAGAAAAGCATAATGGAAGGGTTGCATTTGCAGATGGATTTTAATAAGCATGAAGGAATGTGTGGCTTCAGAAATACATGTATTTTTTAATCAATTTGGTTGCAAATATCTATGATAGGATCTTCAGTTCCATTTAAGGTTAAGTTTGGGGTAAAAGGGAGCTGCATTTGGTAGGATCTGCAGGAGCACTGGCTTCAGACCTTGTTCCATTCCCTTTTTTAAGTGCTGAACTGAACCTGACATTCAGCTGTAATCACATATTGGTGACCAATGCCCACAGCAAAGCAAAACACAGCTTATTTTTCCTTGCCACAGCTGGCTTTTCCAAAAGGTTGTAGCTGAGGGAGGATATTGCAATAAAGCAGAAAACCAAAGTATTTCTGGACAAAGGGGAGTAGAGTTGTTCCTGTATCCTAACAGTAACAAATTTGTAGGATTGGATCATCCCTCAACTCTAAAATAAGCTTAATGAGACATAATACTGTTTGTGAATGGACTAAGTTGGCCTTCACAGCAAAGGGCAGGAGGCACAGTGGCGTTTGTAGCCATAAAACATGGCAAGATTTCTGGTCACAGGACCCCCTCTACACATACCTGGTGTTTAAGAGGCTGCTATCAGCTAAGAGTGAAAGAGAATATCTTTCAAAAACCAACTTAAATCATAGAAAGTCCAGATAAGCCCTTCTAAGCCTTCTAACTACTAAAGCAGCCTCCAAATATACTTTTTTTTTTTTTTGGGGTGTGTTTCACATAAGGTTACAAGAGAGCAGAACTGCAATGTTTGTCTGGTACATGCTAGTGAAAAAGAGCAGGTTTCTTGTCTCAGACCAAATAATTTAAGTTTATTTATCAAAATGGAGAGATGATACATGCTTCTATCCTGCTTTTCATGTTAATTTGTTTTTCATGCTGCTGCTTAAAAAATATGATGAATCTTTCTTCATAAAATAGTTTTAAAATACATGACTACCATTGGCACTTAAAACATAGAGTTTAAATATGTGTTTAGCTTTTAGTCTTACATCTTTGGGAAAATGCAGGTATTTGAAAATTGAAGGAGTTTGCAATGGGTACTCAAACCAGTTTTTGTGATGCAAACATCTACTGCTACTTCATAATTAGATGGATGAAAAGCAAAGGAGATCAAATGGTATCAAGCTGATTACTAGTATAAAGGGATAATTGTACATAGTTAGAGACCAATGAAATGACAATAATTACCCTATTCCCACACTGGGGATTTTATGGTGTATCTGATGAAAACTTCTGTTGAAACTTTCTGATTCTGAATTGTATTTAAAAAATACCTTCCATCTTTCATGTTGGATTCTACTGTGCAATTATTTTCACGGAAGGAGATTTTTCTATGCTCTTATGACCATCTATGTTCATCTGCTGCTCTAGCCAAGCAAATTCTGCGGCAGTGATTGAAATCAGGAGAAGTATGGTTGTCTGTGCAGACTATGAATTAGTTTTGAAGCAGGTGCTGTTCTGAGCTTTTGAAGGAAACAGGTAGAAGAGAGGCAGGAGGTTGAACTGATTAATGGCACTAACACATCTAAAGTCAAAAAGTCACATTTTCTTTCTTTGAAACTGTTTTTGACGAATTCAAAGTTTAAAATAAATATCATCCAGTTTACATGAAACAATAATGAATTTTTAGTGTTTTCTGTAGTTCTATAAGTTGCTGAAAAACATTTCCAGTGTTTTCTATTTCGCCCCTGCATCCGTCATGATTATATGATGACGGAAGGCCAGATATTTTGTTATAACTTAAGAGTGGAGACTGGGGTGGTTATTATGTGACTCTACCAGATTATCTATTTGAGTGCTGTGTGAACATAAGATCTGCCTCCTCTCATGTGGAGTGCTAGATGCAGCCCTGGCTTCTAGGTAGATCTGTGCCTTGTACAATGTGGTCTCACCATCTCTCTTCTGCTCCATGACTCCAGGTGTCTCAAAGGGAGCTGTTGAGTGTCTGGAGGCAGAGAGCCAGGGAGAAGGCACTAAACTCCATCTTTTGGGGCTTTACATTCAAAGGACTGTCACATTATGGCCACTGCCGTGTGCAGCGGGACTGTTCTAGTTGGGTGGTCCAGGAAATGAAATATTAAATATCTGATTGACAGATCACTCATTTCAAGCCTCACAATGAATTTTTTGTTCTGACTGCATTAAGAAATGTTTTTCAAAATACTGCCTTTTCATACACAATTGAAATTCTTATTTTATACAAAAAATAATGTGCAACTGTAGTGAACACAAGCAATGTGGCTGTGCAGTTCCTGATATTTTGGAAATTACTGGCATTTTTTCTTGTGATAATGCTGATGGTAGAAACAAACTTACCTTGTAAATTTTGAACACCTCAGCGTTAAAGGGGTCTATCTTCTATCATCCTCTTTTTCCCTTGTAAAAATACTCTTCTGACTATGCTCTTATATAATGGTTAGTGCATATATCAAGTTTATATTATTTTTCAGAAAAATATCCAAGGGACTTGTAATCAATATTTAGAGATTGAAAATAGTCTGGAGGTTAGTATTTGCTGTTATCTGAAAATATATATACATATTATATATATGTATATATTTAACAGGTGTATCAGCTTGTATCTTGACAGACACAAGACAATGTTGAAGAGCCTATAAATACAAAAGGCCCAGTGAGCATGTTTATATATATTTAAAAGTTTCTCCCTGGGCCTTTGAATGTTTTTCGCTCAAGTAAGTGTTTTGAAATCAGTCGGTTGTCAGTCTTTTCCCCATCAGTGGCAACCAATCATGACAGAATTTTCTATGAAGAGATTTTTCTTAAATAGCAAGGTTGGTTTTTCTGCTATAATTACTCATTGACATACTAGATAAAGATTTTCAGTTACATAAAAAAATGCTTCTCTTACAGTACCTTAGGTAACCATACATTCACCTGTTTTTCAAGCTTCTATCTTTTTTCTAGTGTGATACCAAAACAGATGTCAGTAGTTTTGCCAAAAAGCACTGGGAATATTTTTGTGTTTTTCCCACTTTCGAACTGTAGAGAACAGGTGAAGTCTCTTCTCATAAGATCTTAAAAGACCAACATCCCTAGAGATCTTTCAGTGACAGGGTGCACATGTACAACGTCTTTGTGATGACATATTCAGCTGCAGGGGCAACAGAACACCACTGTGCTCTAGAGTACTGATTGACTGTAAAAGGCAAAGCATCAGCTTCTTCCAAGACTAGCATTCCCACTGAAATATGTTACTGAAAATATCTAAAGAATGAATGCTGGGCTTGTAATTGTTCCTTGCAGCAGCATACAGGATTTTACAGAAAGGTGGAACTATATTTCTTGTAGGAGTTGGCAACAATTAAACTGTTCTTGTTGAAAATAAATATTGATTAATACAAGCTTGATTGTATTAAAGACCTGTTCCTAAGGAAAATGCAGTCTTTATAAATAACAATTGTGATGTTTATTGCTATCTTTGAGAAATCTGCACACTGTTCTTGCTTTTACCACTTTTAAGAGTTTC